CCGCCACGGGCGGGCAGGCGGGGTCCTGGTTTTCGGTCTCCCTGCAGTGCATGCACTTGATGAAGCCGTCCAAGGCGTGAGCGGCGCCGCCCTCGCGGCGGCGGCCGCAAAGGCGCGGCGCGCGCGCTCGGCCCGTGTCGCCGGGCCGGGGCGCGCGGCGGCGGCGCCTCGCGTGTGCGGGGGCGGGCGCGGCCGCCCACCTCAGGCCTCGCGGTGGCGCTGCGGCGGGGCGGGGAAGGGCCCGGGAAGCTGCGGGCGCGCCCCATGTCGAGTCGGGCCGTGTACATGTTTTTTTCCCGGCCCCCGACGACCCAAAGTTCCCGGCTGGGGGACTGTCCTTGTGCAGCTGTGGACGCGCCGCGCGCACACTATTGTCGCCCCGCGCAGCCCTTTCGACCCCACCCCTGCAAACAATCGCAGCGAACGAACCGGGCGCCCCCAACCCCTGCTCTACACCAGCCGGGGCCGGGCGCCTCCCTGCCTTTGCCACCGCCCTCGCCCTTTCGCCGCTCCTTTCATCACTAGAGCCGGCCCGGATGCGTCCCTGCCCCCAGCACTTTGTGGGGTCTGACGGCGCGCTGCGCCACGCACTGGGGCACACAAAGATGCAGAGTGCAGCCCGCGGCGTTGCTGCTTGCGGCGAGGTGCTCCCCCCCCTGAGTTTCATCTGCACTAAGGGTAGCCGAGGGGCGCGATGGACACCAGACAGAAAACGTAGGCTCGCACCACAGAGGCCGCGATGCGCGGCCGCTGGCCGCGGCCGCACTCGCACACGCGTGGGCCGAATTGCGACGGCGCCCAGGGTTCGCCGGACGGCCCCCGCCCGTGCCCCCGCGGCGCCCCACCCCCTTTTGCCCGAGCGTGCCACGCCTCGAATCGCCCCCGAGCCCGCCTGTGCGGGCCGCGACGCGCCGGCGCCCTCCCCTCGCCTCGTATTTCGGAGGCGTCGCTGCCGTGTGGCGAGCGTGTGTGTTTTGACTCTGTGTGTGCATGTGTGAATCAAGTGAGTCTACCGCCGACTTCGCACACCGCTGCACAATCCCGTTGACCTCGTTTGTTGCCCTGGCCTGGTGCCCCCAAGGCGGCAACGTCTCACGGAGCAAGCGGCGGGCCGGCGGGGGGCCTCGCTGGGGGTCCTGTGTGTTGCCTGTTTGACCGCGGTTTGACCGCGCCGTCGTCCCAATGACGCGGCATCCCCGGCGCCGATCAGCTTGACGACAACTTAGCCACGCTTGCTCAAGACGCCCGCTCGCCCTTCCCCCACCGCCCGACACGCAGCGCCCGCTTTCATTCGCCAGCCCTCCCCACTACACACGCCCTTCACTTTCGCCGGCGCGCCTCCCCGCCTGTAGCTACGATGCACATCCTCTCAGGTGTAAATTTGTGCCTTTTCGATCCCTATGTACATGCCACGGGCTTGGGTGGTGCAAGGCAGGGGCGATGGCGGCGGAAGGGACGGCGGGGTGTATTGTAGGGGCTCGGAACTGGCGGGGTGGCTGATGGCTTGACCTGGCGATGAGTGTCGATTGCCCTGGATGGTACGATTTGCCGATTTCATCATGATGGCATTACATGAGGCATGTGGGGAATTTGTGTTGGGCCTGGGAATAAGGAGCTGCGCTTTGGGTGTGGAAACCTTGTGGGCGAATCTGACGGTGATGCGTTGACGCAAGGAAGGTGTGAGGCAGCAAAAGTTTTTGTGGACGAGGAGACAGTGTGATCGTTGCATAGGGGGCGCACATTGAATGCATGCACCAGCAGGGTGCGGTCAGAGTAGGGACTGCCAATGCGCCGCCGTTACCACAGACGGGGGCTGCCCTTTGTTGGCGACGCAATTCCTTGTTCGACAAAGCAGACAGTGCAATGGGTGGGGCAGATGCATCTGCACTTGCTGCGGGGGATGGGGCGTGCGACTCTATTGCTTGCGTGATGCGAGAGTGATTTGTGTTGGCAAACATTTCACCGCGCAGCGCATCGGCGCCAACCCAAGACATCCATGCCAATAGCAGACAAACCACCGACCACCGACACCACTGATTCAAAAGCCTTGAGAGCCTGCGCAGGCGGCCGCCCGCTGGCACAATGAGCCTTGTGTGCAGCCTCAGGCTCCAACTGCTCTTCAGATGCGCTGCGGTGAATGGGAGCAGCGGCCACAGCGGCCGTGCTCTGTGACAGGACTTGGTGGCGTGCGGTGAGCGTCACGGGGGCCAGGCCCGACACAGACTCAAAGGGGCGGCCACATCGCACCCCGGCCTGGCAGGGAGTCAAAAAGTTGTTGAAGGCCTCTGTTTGTGGTGTCTGAAATCTACTCAGTGACAGCTGACGCCCGCCTCAACGCACGAGCGCCCCGGGCCAGCGGCCTAGGCACCCACGAAGCTCTTGCTGGGAGCCTCCCATGAAGGCGCGGCGCTGCCGCCGCCCACTCAAACGGGCAGGGAGCATGCGTGGCCCGGGTGCTGCAGCGCGCGCGCCGGCGCGCGCCCTGTGCGCAGCCCGGCGAGTCAGGGGCGCAGGATCCACTCGCGCACTTGCGCGATCGCCGTGGCGTCCATGGGTGCCGCCACGTTGATACAGTCAGCGCCCCAGGGGCAGTCCCCCACGTGGCGGCTTACAACGCCCATCGCCACGGCCGGCGGCTCCTCGGGCTCCCCTGCAGCCGTGCGCGCGCCGCCGCCGTTTCCGCCCAGCTTGCACCCTCCCAGCCCGCCCGCTGCCGCCGCGGCTGCCGCGGCGCGCGCCTCCTTGGTCCCGCCGTGCACCCACAGTGGCGCGCCGCTCATACCCTTCCCGGTGTCGCACGCGTGCCGCAGCATGCCCGCCATGCGCCCCTCGCCGCCGTCGTCGGTGGGGCAGAGCGCCGCGCCGCCGAGCCGGCAGCGTTGGTCCCCCATCAGCGGAAAGTAAGCGCCGCCGCCGGCCGCGCTGACCATGCTCGCGCCGGGAAACCCGGCGACCGACACCGCCGCAGACACGGTCGCCGCGACCGCGGCGCCGGCGCCAGAGGCAGCGCGCTCCTTGGCCACGCCTGCGAGCATGGCACCGGCGACGTCGCAGCCAGCAGCGAGGCCGAACCAGCCCGTCTCCAGCCCCACCTGGAGGGCGGGCGTGTGCATAAGGGTGGGGGTGCGCATTCGCCCTCATGCGGGTGGAGGGATGCTTGGGGCATGACATCAGTGGGATGGGTGAATGCTGTGATTGCGGCCTGGGAGGCTGAGCTGGAGATCTGGGAGTGTGTTGTGGGGCATGCGCCGTGATGGGGACGAGAAAGGGGCCATGCGGGGAACTGGGACGAGGCACCCTCCTAAACCAGTCCAGCCGCTCCACGCAACTCCTCCCCGCTGAACGCTGCGGACGAGCCCAAACAACGCACATGCTGGGTCGGGCCTGCCGCGACCAAGTTGGCTTATGCGCTGCGCGCGCACCTGCCGCGACAGCTTGACTGCTCCGATGTCCCGCTTCCACAGGAAGGTGCCGGCAGCTGCCGCCGCCACCCACTCCTTGGGCACGTCCGACCTGCGCGTTGTCATCAGTGCGGTTGCGCACGCGTCCCTCGTCACAAGCATGTGGCGATACCCCGCCTTGCACTGGCGCCCTCCGCTGCTGCCCGTCCCCCACTGCAGGGGCCCCTCCCTGTCCGCCCTCCCGCCTAGAAATCATCATCGATGATGCAGGCCCGCCCGCGGGCCGCCGCGCGACGGCACCCACCACTCTGCGCTGATGCTGCCGAGTGGCGCGTAGCCCGCGCCGTCCGGCGAGCGAGAGTAGGATGGGTAAAAGCCGAGCACCCTCCGAAAGCCGGCGGGGCGGTTGGGATGGACCTCGCTCGGCACGGTGTACAAACACTGCAGGGCGTGGCAGGCGGTTTGCGGCTGCTTTCGTGTGGCAGGCCAACACATGAATCTGGTGGGCATTGATCTGTGGAGGCGCCTGCGGTCACAATCGATGCCCACAGCAGGCTATGGGGTTGCCGAAAGGGCCGACCACCAGCAGCTGACTCAGGTCGCGGTTTGGTTGCGAACCTGGCCGCTGCCCCAAATAAAGCGGACGGGCCCCTATGCAGGACCCTGTCAGGTGTGCGCACCGCTCCCCAAGCGCGCTGCCTGGCTTCCCCTCAGCTCCCCCTGCGTCCCCTCGCTCACGTGCGCCGCAGTCAGCACCAAGTCAGGGCTGACCATCAACCCAGTGCAGATGCTCAGGTCCCCTGCCGCCGCAGCAGCCGACCCGCCGCCGTTGACACCGCCGCCGCTCGCGGCCGCAGCGCCGCCGCCGGGCCGCCGCTGGTCGCCGGTGGCCCTCGTGCCTGACACGTCCTCCGGCTCTCCTAACAGCAGGAGTCCCAGGGCCGAAAATGGGTATGGCAGCGGGGAGACCACCTCTCGGAGATCGTCCGACCCTACGGTCGAGGAGCTGCCCAGCAGCTTCCGCAGGGCGGCCGCCTCACTGGGGGCGAGGGGGTTGGGACCTGCCAGGGGTGGTGTGGTGTGGAGGCAGGCAAGGGGTGGTAGTGGGTAGTGAGAAACAAGCGAGTCATGCGCGAGTGGAGCTGGGGGGCTTCAGGGGTGTCTGAAACCACTGACGTACTTTTCGGGGGCAGCGGGCGAAGGGGAGGGGGTACCAGCACGAGCAGCCACAGCCAGTTGTTGTGCTGCGTGTGTTGGGTTGGGGTGAAACCAGCGAAGCGCGCGTGGTGCACCGCTGCGCAAGACTTGGCTGGCAAGATGAAAAACCCCACCCCTGCGCAACCCTCGCTCACCACCATCTCGGGCGCCTGGGGTGCCGTCTAGTGGCAGCCACCGAGCATCGCAGACCGCTGTCAGACCTCACACAGGGCGCGTTTGATTGGTTGGGAGTGAGGTCAGCTCGGAACAATGCCGACAGTGTTGAGAGGCGGTTTGTTGAGGCTAATTTCTGTAAACCTGCAATTTGAATCTCACCTACAGCAAGGAGCATCATCGCCCATGCTCGGGCCTCGCTGTTGAGCATCGTTTGCGCCTCAGCACAGCACACCCGACTCTTTCGGTTGTCCTTGCGAGTGCCCTCGCGCAGGTCCTCGCGTGGTGGCTAATACGTCTCTGTCTCCTTTGCAAACTAAAGTCCTTGACAGTATGGTTGGACGTACCAATCAGGAGGGGCGTGGAGTCTAGGTGACTGACCGTGCTGACTGTGGGACTGACTACATGCCCCCTTCGACGACCTGCTTTTTCTGGGTGAGGATGGAACACGCAACTACTCAAAGTGCTTAGAAAAGCGAAGGGACCAACCCTTCTGGCACCGTGCAGCTGCGGATTCGGAGCCCGCCCTGCCAGTAGAAATTGTTGGTGATCGACGAGTGGAATGCCAGGTATGTGACTCAGAGATGGTTTTCGAGCCCGCCTGAAGCCTAGTACAGCTGCAGGCTCCACCATGCCCGGGCACCCCGCAGCCAGAGCGTGCACCCCTCCAATGAGTCCAAGGGGGCAGCTGCGCGGCATGAGGTGGCCCGGCCCCGTGGGGACCCAGGGGCACCGGGCCAAACAACACAGCGCATCATTTATGACACATGCCTGCCACTGGACAGGCGCAGTACAAGACACTGTGCTCTGACGAGGAGAAGCCTTGTAGTGAGTGCGACCCGTTCAGCTGTGGAAGTTTGGCGGGCACGGGCGCTGTGGCTGTGGCTGTGGCTGTGGCTGTGGCTGTGGCTGCACAGGCACGTCTCAATGCATGGTGACGCACCTACTTGACTCCAACAAGGTGCATCAAACGCCGCACTGCACAACTACCCCGCTCCTCAGTCCTGAGGCGCGTCGTGCCGGGCTCAATCGTTTCGGGGACACGTGCGTGTGGGGGAGCAGGCCCAAAGGCCGTTGAGAGAGGGGTGCAGATCGCAGCATCATTGGCATGGGAACCAGTGCGGGGTGCACCACTTGCAGGACGTTGGACGACCCTGCACGCTTTTTTGCTATATCAAGGAAGTGCAGGGTGCAGGGCCTGACGTGCTGCTGCCCAAGACGAGCCTGCCTCCCAGCCCCTCCTCGTGCTCATTGCCTCAAAACGGTTGCGAGGGGGAAAATTCCCAGCTTTTCCCAACGCGCGCTGGGGCCATAGTGCCCAGCTGCCAGCTGTCGTCCGATGAAGGCCTGAGGCTGGGCGGCGGGTGGGGGCAGTGAGGGCTGTCGTGCCAGGATGGATAGCAACCGTGAATGTGTGCGTATGTGCCTTGAGCATCTGCAACATAGGATTGCATTTGGTCGGGGCGCGCGGTCCCGCTCGCGGGCCTGGAGCGGGGGCAGGCGGCAGGATGGAGACTTTTCACCCTGCAGGCGCAAGGCTGGTGGGTCATGCGCCATTGCGCAAACAACTCGTCGTCATGCACAATCTACTTCACAACCGGGAGTGTCACAGCAGTGTGAATCCCTGCTCTGCCACCCTGATGTGGGATTTGTGGGGTGAGCCTCTGCACCACTTGGCGGCACGTGGTGTTGCTCCTGCGGCTGTTGCACAGTGCCAGGGGTGCTGATGAAAGTGCTGCATCGCCACACGCTTAGATAACCATCAAATTCCTCCATGCGCGTCAAGGTCACCGTCCGCCCATCGCCATATGGACCGCGAATGAAATTCTCACCGGCAGGCCACCAACTCAATCACACGCGTGCCCCGAACGTGAGGAAGAAATCCTCGGTCAATGAGTACATAGAACACTTCTTTTATGCGTCCTTTGCAAGGTTGCCACGGGGCCGGCGTGGATGGCATCAAATTTCGTTGCAGGGAATCACCCGTCGCCGTTCAGGAAGTATAGCGCAGCTCAAAGGTTTCTCTTTTTAGAAAAGCCAGGGTGTAGCAGTGCCTAGAGCTGCGCGTGTTTGGCGTGTTCGTCCAGGCTCGTGGTTGGCGTGTTCTTCCCAACTTGGCGAGCTTGCCAGGACTGAGATTGATTTCCTTCTGAGCTGCGTGGAAGCCGGCGCACGCTGCAGCGCATTGCGCTCGCGCTCGCCCATCCTCGGGACGGATGAAGCGCAGCGCATCGGGCGACCGTGACGCCTGCTACCCTGGCAGCGACAACGAATCCGACGCCGGCCGCAACGAAATCCCATGCCACGGTAAGGCCGGGCCTGAGCAGGCGCCAAGGAAATGCGCGCCTGCATGAATACCTTGGAGCGCTGCTGGTCGCGATGCTGGTATGCCGTCGTCGCTGCTGCCGCCATTGGCTTGACTGCTCTTTGGCCGGCGACCTGGCTCCTGCCATCCCCAATCCTGAAGGCGTCACTATGAAGACACGAATCCGATGGACGACCGAACTGCACACTGTGTTTGAGCGTGCGGTCGAGCAACTCGGGGGCCCAGGTGTGGACCTGCGGGGGCGAGGGCGGCGCCAGGCGGGAAGCATGGCTCAAGCCCCAAACCCTCGGCGGGCACGTCGTACCAGCAGAGCGTACCGCGCTGACCTCATCTCGCTGCCGCCTGCCGCCGGCCTCGGTGTCCTGCTGGTGCAGCCGCTGCGCTTCGCAGCGCCCTGTATCGCGGCCGCCGCAGTCATTCGTCAGCCCCGCCCCCGCTGCCAACCCCCCGCTGCCCTGCAGACAAAGCGACCCCCAAGGGGATCCAGCACGCCATGCGCACGCCAGGGCTTACCCTCGCCCACATCAAGTCGCACCTGCAGAGGTGGCGCATCAGCGCGAGGTCTGGGGGCACCATGGCACCGGGCTTTGACGGCCATGATG